GCAGGAGAACGAGAAAGCACTAGGCTTTTCGTTTTAGATGCGTTCACAGGCATGCCGGTCACGTTGCACTAAGCTGCGAACCTTAGGAGCACTGATGGAGATCAGTTTCAGAAGATGCTAATAAAACAAGGTCGTCTGCAAACAGCAACCTTCTCGACTTCACATCTCCTACACCGAATACCTTCATCGCCTTGGCAGTACATATGACTATTCTATCCATGTACAACAGGACGCAGCCTTGGCGAAGACCAGTGCCAACGCTGAAATGCTTCGATTAACGCCATTTACTCTGACATAGCACCTGATATCAGCACATGGTGATTGGATGGCTCCTATGAACTGGCCTTAGTTAAATGTGGTACATCATGCGTTCTGAAGTTGAGTCGTTTCTCAAGACTATGTTTATTGTCCAACCACAAATTGGTCGTCTGCTGAAGGAGAAGGCAGTACATATGCATGCGTGTCGTAAGGTACTCCTCGACATTTGTTTGTTAGGTTTTAAAAATATTCAAATCTGTTCATACTCTAAATTAAAATGGTCCCATAGAGAGTTTGAAACATGATGTAACACACCGTGAGATCTAATTTTGGACGAGTTATTCTCTTGTTAACACCCTTCCTCGTACGACATTTTTTTGCTTGTTTTAGCATTTATGGAGTAACCATTCATGATGAGCGAATGATTGATGTTGCGGATAAAAAAGATGTCAAATGCATTTAACACTATTGGTGATGAAATTTGGTACGGCTCTGGCTTGCGTAAATGGCGCCTTATGCAACGAGCAAGGGACAGTGCAGTACGCCGAGGTATCTAACTTTGAAGGAGCTGTTCGCTTGTTAGTTATTTTGCAGCATGATGTTCGGATTGTCCACACTGCAGTAGCCGTCTTCACTGTTTACGAATCTCAGGTATACTTATATTATAATCAAGACATGGCGAGTAGTTGATTCTATACTTAAATGTAAGCAAATGCGAATCCTTTCTACGAAATCCAGCCAAGTCGGTCTGGATTTCTTTTCATCTTCATCTTCCATGACCGCTTTTCCTTCCGGGTCTCTGAGGCAGACGCCACAGACAGTGCTTCCAACGTTCCCGATCTTGTGCCAGAGTCTGAGCTTGGGAAGAAGGCAACTGGAGTCTGGAACAGACTCCTACCATATATTTGCACCAGGTTAATCTTGTCCGTCTCCTGGGCCTTTTGCCGTTCGACAAATAACTGCTTCGTCTTTCTTTCTGGAGGAATTTCCAACACGTGCCCAAACCATCGCTGCTGTGACTTCTCAACCTGAAGAAGCAGAAACTGCACACCAACTCTCTCCGGCTGTCAGTATTCCGGCGCATGTCGAAACGCGTAAGACAAGCGATTCGTCTAAGAAAACCCATTTGAGCAGCTTCCACCAGGGTTCGAAGCTTTTCAGCTATCGTCCACGACTCATGACCGTAGGTAAGTATGGGGATAAGGATCGACTTGAACACCGAGAGGTTAGCTTTCACACTGAGCTCTGCTTTAGTCACAATGGGTCGGGCTAATTCACGCAGAACGCCACTGGCTACTCCAATTTGCTGATCGATCTCTTCCTCAAATTTTTCATTGCTGGTAAATACGACTCCGAGATACTTGGACTTCTCCACCTGCTCCATTGCCTCTCCGTTAATCTCCTCGAATAGAACAACGGGCAAGAGATCGAGAAAGCACAGCACTAGACTTTTCGTTTTAGATCAGGTCACACGCATGCCGGTCACGTCGCACTCGGCTGCGAACCTTTCTAGGAAGCACTGCAGATCAGTTTCAAAAGATGCTAATAAAGCAGGATCGTCTGCAAACAGCAACCTTTTCGTCTCCACATCTCCTGCACCGATACGCTCGTCGCGTTCGCTGCACCTGACCATTCTGTCCATGTACAACACAAACAGAAGAGGGAACAGAACGCAATCTTGCTGGAGACCAGTGTAAACGCTGAAAGGTTTCGACCTAACGCCATTTACTCTGAGCGGCAGCTGCTGTCAGGGTATGGTGATTGGATGTCCCGTAGCAGCTGGACATT